ATATCCTATCTTCTGTTGCAGTAATTCTGTTGGATAAGTTTTCGACTGTGTGTTTAAGGTGTTGAATTTCAGTTTTGAGTAATTTTGTTTCTGTAATTATGTGATTTTTGAATTCCTTAAGGTCCTCCCATTGTTTTTCATTGTCTTTGAAGTGTATCATAATCATTTTTCTGAACTCCTTGTCTGATAAGTCTTCAATTTCTTCATGTGTAATCTCTGCGATTGACCAGGCCTTTTGGTGAGTTTTTGGGGTGGCACTGGCTCCTTCTTCTGGTTCATTTATCTTCTTTCGCCCCATCATTTTTATTTCTGCTGCCACCTAGTGGGTGACCTGAAGTCTTGCTGGTCTAGTTTTGTTTTTGTTTTTGTTTTTGTTTTAGTTTTTTGTCTCAAGTTCCTCTTGCAACTGACTGGACCTGTTTTTCTCTGTGCTTGTGGCTCAACCTTATCATGCTAGCCTGTGTTAGCCAAGTTTGGCCTCCTGCTGAAGGGGAGGGAAGGGTTCTCTTTGCCTTTCACTGAGGGAAGACAGCTTCCCAACTGCTTGGCTGGTTTTGCCTCCTACCAAGTGCAGTCACCTTCCCGTTATAGCAATTTACCCAGTTTCTCCCCTGCGATTGCAGTTTACCAGTTTCTGTAGTTCAGGGCTCCTTCCCTGCCACTTTCCGGCTTTCCAAAGGGAAGGCACCTCCCCTCTTTAGCAAGTCACGATTCACCGTGGCTCGTGTTAGCGACTTACCAAAGTCTGCAGTTCATGGCTCCCTCCCTGCAGCTTTCCAGGTATTGATCCCAGTATTTCATGTTGGTTCTACTGTCATGTGCCGTTTCTCTCGGTCCTGGCGGGAATGGGGAATTTCCCACAATGTTCCCTGTGGTTCTTTTCCTCTTGGGTTCACTGCAGCCTACTCGCATCCCTATTTTCCAGGACCTTCAGCTACGTCCATCTAACCCCAGTGGCCATCTTGATTCCGCCATCCCAAATAATTTTTTTGTATTAGTGAAAACTGTGCCCAAAATATGACTGTGGACGACTCTGTTCTCATTGAGGAGTCATTCATTTTGGGGTGCAAACAATAAACTTCAGATTTAATGCTGAATGTTCATTGGCATTCATAAGGAAACAGGTAAAATGTTAGAGCAATTACTTCATGATCTCTCTGTATAAACGTATCCAGAACATTTTTACATGTTTATGTTGTTTCAGTGACCATATGTTGTGTTATATGCCACACCAGCAGCTTTCCACAATTCCCAGTTCTGAAGAGTATCTCAACTGTGCTAGCAAAAGCCTGGCCCACGCAATAGTTCTGGCCTGTTGGAGAATGAGCTGACTTAAGGAAGATTCTTTTTGTATCTTCCCACTCTAACTCTGCATTCAAAATAAATGCAAATAAATCTTTAAAAAAACATGGAATTTTGAGGTTATAAGACAGGAATGCAGATGTATTCTAAATATAATTGGAGGTCAGCAGATAAAAATGGAGAGAATTTATGTCAGACAGATTTTTGGGCTAAACCAACAAAGATAAGACAAATGGAATGTTTTCCTTGTTACTTTACTATTTGCAGAAGCACTATTAGGGAAGTTTCCATCATGCATAAAAAAATGCCAAAGGAGATTTCCAAAATAAACAAATAAATAGATACAGATAGTCAAAGCAGCTTTACATGGAATTAGCAAGGTGTGAGTGAGCTGGGGAGTCGGGAGTCGCAGAACAGAAACTTCCTAGGGTATTGACACAAAACAAAATCTATAGTTAGCAAAGCCAAGCCCAACAACACATAGTGCTCCAAAGATTCAAAGCCAGGCCATGGAGCGGTGGAATAGCTCCAGCTAGCAAGCTCAGGAGCTTCTGTACCCAGAAACTTAAGCTATCTCCTCCCTTTTGTTCTGCAGTAATCTCCCAAAGTCCCTGAGGGCCGATCAGCATTAATGTTGAAATGCTTTCCTAAGAATAAAAGCTGCAGGGAAAGCTAAGAGGTGTTTACCATAATCATTGTATCATGAACGGACTGGACCAACAGGCATTTCCAAAGAGAGAAAATAAATATGACAGGCATAAGAATGTGCGTAGCCAGAGGGAAGCCCTGTTCTCTGAAAAAGGTGGGCGACTGAAACTCTCCCTGCCTGGGAAGGCAAATTGAAGGAATCAATGTGGCACAAACACGGAGAGCTACACCCCACACTGGTGTGAACCAGCCAACGCTTGCTACTCAGAGAGCAGCAGTATGGCCCGAGGTAAGTAGGTCGGTACACAACTGCCTCATAGAGAGCTCAGAGCATGCAGTTCTGTGCCTTTGGACCGTTTCCCAGCTGTGCAGCCTCGGTTTCAGGCTAAGGCCTTGGCCTTGGGATTTTGCCCATTCGCATACTATTGCCCTGATTTTAACTTCACTTTTCTGGCACCAGCATTTCATGAACTCCATTCCTGACATAGTTTGCCCTTCTTTACTTTTGAAACCACAATTATTTTTCACAAGCTGGCTACACCAGTGTTCTCTGCATTGGCTTGCTGAGAGAGCTCGCTCAGCCTTGAGCTAGCTAGCCACTCCACTTTCGATTTTGCTGCTCGGGCTAGGCAGCAACAGACACTGCGACCAGGATAGGGAAAGGTTTGCCAAGAGTGAGCATTGTCCCCAAAAACAAAAACGAACCTAAGAGTCAAAGAACAACGCAAGCACAGAGCATCTGGAGTTGCGGATGGTGAGTTCTGTGAGTGGTTACTTCTACCAGCCTGAGCTATTTGATAATAACTTAGTGTAGAAAGTAGGCAATGCCGTAAGTGGTTAGGCAATTGTTGAAAGGGAAAGGGAACGACCTCTGTGAATGTCATTTTTGTGCGTAATCCCTTGTCTCCCAAGTATGCATGATTTGATTTGGCAGATTGAGATAAAGTGGGTGCAGTGATTCAGAAAGTGCAAAAGGAAAGGGAGAGATTGCCTTCTGGAACATTCTGTGGGCTCGGGTTAAGCAAGTTTTGGAGACCTTGCACTGTAGGAGTCAGGTGAAGGGGAAAATTGCTGCCTCTTCTGCCTGTGACTCTCATTATTGCAGTTGTTGCTTCAGTTCCTGTATCTTGGTTTTGTGAGATCCGATTTCAGAGTGTTCTCAGGAAATATGCCAAGGAGAGAACGTTAGAGTCATGAGAGAGCAAAAAAGAAAGATTTTTTTTTCTTTTCTTTTCTTTTTTTTTTTTTTTTATTCATGCAGTCTCATTAGTGGGGAGAAAGTCTGGGACTGCTCCCTGGTGGGAAATGGCCAGTGCCACATCCACATGGAGCAGGTGACTCTGTGAGGGAAATGACCATTCAGGCATACAGCACTGGGCTTTTTAAAAGCTTAGATATGGGGGGGATGGAAGAAGGTAGCAGCTCCTCACTCAGCTCATGCCAGTCCCTGTAGTAAGGGACCTGTAGCTCAGGGAACTCATGGAGTGCTGAGACAAGGCCTGAGTGGTTCCTCTAGGGCTTTCCAAACTTGCCTGAGGAGATAGGGCCTGGATGATCCCTCAGGGACTAACTCTCACTTAGCCTCAGGCCAGCCCCTAACACATGGATGCAGAGGACAAATTAGCCCTCCAGTGACTGAGATCTGACTCACAAAATGCGAATCAAATTCTTCACATAGATTTGATGGGAAATTGCTTAAAATTCTGTGGGAAGGTGTTGCACAGGATGGTGAAAATGCAGCTTTCAGAATCCCCCTTATAGAGAAAACCTCAGAGGCCTGCCTCATACATGTTGCCTGGACATTACCTGCCTTGAGCGTGCCTAGATAGAAAAGATTACATACTATGGTAAAGTGAATGTTATGATCAAAATCACACTTCAGATACAAAAAAAAAAAAAAAGAAAGAAACAATCCAGTCAATTTGGCTTTGTAAATACCGGTATTACAGGAATCTCATCATTCTATGGGGGTTGGGAGATTATTGCAACAGAATTGATCACTGAGAAAGCAATGATCACTTCTGTTTCAGAACTGCCCTTCTGTGCCAGGACTTGGCCTGCTCCCTATTTTACGTACCTTTTTTAGATGGGTTGTCAGATTTCAAAGTAGCAGCTTACATTTGCTTTAACCAAAATTTCCCTTTATAGGGTCATGGATTTTTACAGTGTGTGGATATTTTTTCTGCTCCCTCACAGCTAGGTAGGGACAAAACGTTAGGGACAAAATTAACAGATGCCTTCTACTCATAGTTTCTTGTTGAACATTATGATACCCACCATACCCCATTATGCAGAGAAAGAACATCAAACTTCTGGTCTTTCTTCAAATACAGTTACCTTACGTGCTACCGAGGCTGCATAAAAGGATATGCTCAAAAATAGCAAAAAAAAAAAAAAAATGCACTTATTCCAAGACATAGAGATGTTTGTATACAGTCCCTTCCACAACCTATTTATTTACAGGAAATACACATAACAGGAAGATTTATGGGAACAGAAAGCAAACTAGGACTTAGCTATGACTGGAGGAATAAAAAATCAGAGCATGTTGAGAGAACAAATGGTAAAGGGTATTGGAAATCTCTTTGAGGATTGAAACGCTTACAAACAATAGTGTTGTTGGTTGCACATTTATATGAATATATTGTGAAATACTGAATTGTAGTAGTCATTTGGGAATTCCATGCAACATGAATTGAACTTCATCTGAGTTTTCATACAAAAAAAAAATCTTTCTAACTACAGTATTCACATAATTGACTGTAATTATCTTTAGGTCTGTGTCAGGGAAATTGTAGATCAAAGTCACCTCTCACATAGTAACTGCTGTTGGCACCTTTCTAATATCTCTTATGTAATATAGCTAACTTGCAAATTTTCTAGCTGTTTCTGCATGACTTTCAGATTTACAAGCTGTGATTATTTCTACAAGATATTTACTTTGAGTAATGCAGGTTATATTTTAACTTCTTCATAGCTAGCTCCTTAGATATGAGCGTTAGCTGCGACTGAGCGGAACAGCAGCTGGGGAGGAAACATTGTGTCTGACCAGCATGTCTGTGAAGAGTGCTTCAGTTCTGCTGCTGCTGCTACAACTGAATTGCTGTATCCTTTCTGTTATTTGTGGGAAGGTGCTGGTCTGGCCCATGGAGTACAGTCATTGGCTCAATCTAAAGACAATCCTGGAAGAACTTATTCAGCGAGGTCATGAAATAACTGTACTGACATCTTCACCATCTATTTTTTTTGATCCCAGTAAAGAACCGGGAATGAAATTTGCGAATTTTCCTACCTCTTTTACTAAAGAAGAAATAGATTATTTTTTCAAGTATTGGATCAATATATTGCTAAATGATATGTCAAGATATAAATATTGGGATTATTTTCCACGATGGCAAAAATTCTTTTTAAAACATTCTGCTATTTTCGACAAACTCTGCAAAGAGTTAGTTTTGAACAAGGAAGTCATGAAAAACCTGCTAGAATCGAAGTTCGACGTTATTGTTGCAGATGCTGTTGTCCCCTGCGGCGAGCTGCTGGCTGAGCTACTGGAAATCCCCCTTGTGTACAGTCTCCGCTTCACTCCTGGCTACAAATATGAGAAGTATTGTGCGGGACTTCATTTTCCACCTTCCTACGTACCTGTTATAATGTCAACACTAAGTGGAAATATGACATTCATGGAGAGGGTGAAAAATATGCTGTGGATGCTTTATTTTGATTTTTGGTTCCAAACATTTAATGACAGGGCCTTGGATAAGTTTTACAGTGAAGTCCTGGGTAAGTTATGCTTTTTGTTTCTGGTGTGCATTCCTAATATTTCTATAAAATTTTCTATGAGTGGAAAATTGGAGACATTTTTCATAAGTAAATTAATAATTTGAACTACAAAGACTTCTGTCCATCTCACAAGTGTTTAGGAATGACTTAGATTCCAAGCTGAGTTATCATTGCTACTATAAGGCATTCCTGGTGGTCATTTAATTAGAGACAGGATTTCTATACACAATTGCATGTCCATCATAGCGTACTTTTTCCATATTAGGAAATGTTAATTGATAGTTACCTAATGGTGGTGAATGAATGCATCTTAATTGACCTGTTACAGATATATGTAGTATAGTCTATGTGACCTTGAGGATATAATTTTTCTTACATTTAAAAAATACAAAATAAATATCTGTATTACCTAAAAGATTCCTTCAATGTTGGGAAATAAGAGTTTCATGTAAGACCTTAAAAATTGTAAATTGAGGTTTGGAATTTTGCCATATTCCTTAATTAAATCTTCATAAATGACACTGCCCTTGATATTAACCAAATGGCTGAGAAGCGGTGATTTTAACTATAATTGAAACAAGCATTGTATGATAAATAAAAAAAGAATTAACAATTAAGTGGAAATGTGTCTAAACATGGAAATGTATCTAAATATATGTAAAATTAGCAGTAAAATGAAAATAAAATGAAATGTAAATTCTATTTGACAAAAATATCTTCATAGTTTATGTAAGATTTAAAATCTTTTGAAATACATAGACATGTAATTAATACCTATTTTAAAATTATGTTCCTGTCCTTCTTCAAAAATGAAAATAAGATGAGCATAACTATCCCTGTAATTCAAAAATTCCATTGGCATTTGCAAGCATTTCTATACAAATATCATGTAAATAAGCATTCATAAGCACCATAACTAAAGCAGAAACAGTATTAGATAAAATGAATTCAACTCACTAAGAACAAACAGTAAACAACTCACTGAAGAAAATCAAGAATCAGGAATCATGTTGGTATTTGAAGATGAATAATTGTGGTTATGATCTTGATAGTATTTCTTGATTCTAAGGCTAAACTGTCATTTTTGGGGTCTACTGGTTTTACAAGTTTGTAGAGAAAATTAATTTATTAAATAGAATTGTATTTTAGCAGCAAGCATTGTGACTATGTTCTGATGACATTCCTTTATATATAGCATATATGTGAAAAGCTAATAAATTGTGCATGTAATTTTTATTATGCATAAATCTTTGTTACATAAAAGCATAGATATTTTGTGCACCATTGGCCACTTATTTTTAACACCTCTCAGAAAATTAAGTGCTGCATTCCACATAGTTCTCTCATTACCCTGACTTTTTCTTATTTTTTTTCCCTTCCATTCAGGAAGACCTGTCACATTTGCTGAGTTGATGGGCAAAGCTGATATGTGGCTCATTCAAAGCTACTGGGATTTGGAGTTTCCCCGCCCACTTTTACCAAATGTTAAATTTGTTGGAGGGCTCCACTGTAAACCTGCCAAACCTCTTCCTAAGGTAAATGTGCCATTGCTTGTTTTCTTTTGTTTGCTTGATTAGGTGGAAATTACTCAGCATTAGTCATTTAGAACATCTGACTCACAATAGAAGATATTGGAAATGTGATACAACACCTGATCAGCCAGAAATTGAAATGAAACATATTTACTAAATAGATTTATTTCTATAAATTATCTTAAATTCTCATATGCAAACACATGTATCCAGATTTGTGAGTTGTATTATAATGATCATTATTAATAATATCTGTTTTTATTAGAATTAATCCAGACTATGAAGTCTGATATATTCTCTGTAGAATATAATTTTACTTCCCAAGCAACTTGACTTTCTTATTTATTAGATACTTGGGACAACTTTTGTCCTTTTTAAAAAAAGAACTAAGAAATTTGAGATTGCATCAATAGTTGAAAATTGTCATAACCTTGGTTAAGAAGCTACTATTGTGACACAATATACAGAAAAGTAATTAAGATGTGAAGAGTTTGTGTGTATAGCAGTAATTTATGAAAATTACTATTGAGCATACCCAAAACTAAGTATCAAGGAATGCTCAAATTGATTTTGGCTATATCACATTTCCACAAGTCTCTTAATAAATAATACTTAATAACATTAAATGAGTCACAATAGGAAATATAATTACAAATATTTGAGCAAACAAAATAAATATATGACTTTTTAAAGAATGCAAAAAGAATATAAGATATAGTTCACTACATATAACATACCTGGGCATAACATGTTAGTTTGGGAAGAAAACATTTGGGGAACTCATAGCACAACATTATAATAGAACATAACAAGATCACCTGTACACTTAGAAAGGGGTAAGGTGGAAAATCCTGTAAGCAACACATTGTATCATAGCCAGAATTCTACTCATTTCAGATAGCGTGTGACTCTCACCTTGGTGGATTGCTCTAGTCCTTACTAGCACTTGATGTGCTGCTATCATTCTGTGATGGAGTGAATTCTTTCTTTTCAGGAAATGGAAGACTTTGTGCAGAGCTCTGGAGAACATGGAGTGGTGGTGTTTTCTCTGGGCTCAATGGTCACTGACATGACAGAAGAAAGGACCAATGTGATGGCTGCAGCCCTAGCCCAGCTTCCACAAAAAGTAAGAATAAGCAACCTAATGGTGCAAAGATATTGAATGAGCATGTAAGGTCTGCAAAGGGACAGATTAGGGAATTATTAAGCAGTATATCATCATATCAATACTAGAGAAGATTATTGTGTGGAATCCAAACTGCTATGAATACTAGCCTTTATTTCTTATGTAATTTAAGGTAACTCTGTTAGCTGGGGACCAATATCACAGATGGTGTTTGTAATGGTAAGTAACTTTACCATAGTCTTATAATATATATTAATTATTATAATAGTAAAACATTACCATAATATTAAAACAAAATGTATTATGGATTCTATGTAAAGCTTTGTTATCATCATGTTACCAGGCAAAGACGCAGAAATCATTATATTCTGCAATGTCATTTGGTTCCTTGTGACACCAGTATGTGCATTAAAGATATTATCAGAGAAGCTAACTGAATTTATAACAACAATAGTACAATAACACTAAAGATTCTGAAAAGAAATCTGAGTTGCAACCTAAAAATAAGATTCCTCTTTATTCTTAACTATTTGCTTATTTATTTTTAAGATTTTTTTTTTTCAATTGGAAAGGCAGACTTACAGAAGGAGAGATGAAGAGAGATCTTCTGTCCGCCGGTTCGTTCAATGGCGGGAGATGAGCCAATCCGAACCCATATCAGATCCCAATGCATGCAAGGCAAGGATGTTAGCCACCAGGTTATCGTGACGGGTCCTTATTATTATTATTATTATTGGTGAAGGTTATTTACTGGGTATAGAAATCACAGATGCACATGTGGGCCATATTCATGGATGGAGATACAAATGAATGGAAAGGTGGGGCAGCAACATTTCTACTTTCATCTTGTATCTACAGGAAGACAGAGTGCACCCTCCCCATGCCCAGGTATCTTATAGGCCTGGAAAAGAAGTTTATATATAATACCATGGCCAAGTCCTGAATGAGATGAGGCACAGTGCTTCTTGAGGAAGGAGTGATTTGATTGCTAGGTATGAAGACAGTATTACACATGGTAGATGAGATATGGCTTCTAATTTGTGACTCTAAGCTAGTTACCTTCCAGTCCCATTTCAAGCCCCCTTCAGAAATTTTCAACTCTTATAATTAAGGTGTGCTGCAGGCTATGTATTTGTTATCCTCTTCAGGTATTTCCCTCAGATAAGGAGTGTAGATCATGCATGTCCTAGGCTAGAATTTGTTCTTATCTGATCTGGTGGGTCCATCTCATCAGCCTGAGAAATTCCAGTTGGGTAATGGCTGTGTACTCAGCCTCATCACTAACATTCTAAGAAGTCTTCTACAACAGTGTGAACAATCAGCATCCACCAAAATGGAAAGAAATGTCTATTAAAGTGATTCCTAGGAAAGGAAAACTATATGCTATTGTTTTCCAAATAGTGGTTGATAAACTGTCCCTGTGCATATTACAATGAATCCAAATTGAGCACAGGTTATTAGTGTTCCCTATGATGATCATACAGCCATCAGAGTAGAGGTAAGCAATAAGCAAATCCATCTATATTCACACAAGCCTCACCCCATTCCTCATGTCAGCATTAGGGCTTCTAGCTGAGGCTCATTCACCCCACCTGTATCTGCTAAAATTGTATTAGAAGAATTCACCAAGGAGGTCTCCCACCATGGCAATTTCCAGAGAGGGTCAAGAAAAGAGTTAGGAAAGATAGCATTTGCCATATGCTACATTAGCCTTGAGATGATGGAAACAAAAGAACAACTTCTGTTTACATCTTTCAAAGAGCCATGGGAGGTCCTTGACTGAGTCACAGGAAATGGCTGATTCATTTCTCACATGCACTTGGGCATGATGTTCCCCTCTGCAAAACTGGACGCTCACAGTGTCTAAAGCAGGAACACAAAAGAGAAAGGGTGGAAATGGGTCCTTCCCACTAGTGGAATCAGTGCATTTCAATCTGTGGCCCACAAGGTTGCCCAAGCACATTGAATTAACATCCATACTGAGGAAGGACTATTAGAGGGAGTTGTGGAAGCAGACCCAATAGGGAAGAATGTTCACATACAATGTATGTGATAGTACATCCTATTTTCCTAATATGTGTAAGATAATGCTGATTTTTGGCTTTATGAACCACTTTTACTTTTCTATCTTATATAGAGGTTTGGCAATCACCTATATACAGTTTGTGTCGAGGCCTGAAATTAGTTTAGCATTACAGAGCAAATAAAACTTAGATGTTTGTAGATTATAGTCCAATATGTGATAAAAGCTTGAATGTGCCAAAATCAGAACTTTGTTTTGATACTCAGGATAGAAATCTGAAAACAGTCAAAATTGGTTAATCTTTGCTCTCTGCTTTGAAGTTTATCATGCAATAGTTAACAGTTAAGCAACATTTGGCAGCAGCAGAAGTTTTGATTTTCCAGCCACATGTTATTAGGATCAGTCCATTTCCAACATACAGACCATATCCAATCCAAACAATAGCAATAATTTGGGCCCAGCACAGTAGTGTAATGGTTAAGGTCCTCACCTTGAACGCGCCAGGATCCCATATGGGTGCTGGTTCTAATCCCGGCAGCTCCACTTCCCATCCAGCTCCCTGCTTGTGGCCTGGGAAAGCAGTCAAGAATGGCCCAAAGCCTTGGGACCCTGCACCCGTGTGGGAGACCCGGAAAGAAGTTCTTGGCTCCTGGCTTCGGATCAGCACAGCATTGATTGTTGCAACCACTTGGGGAGTGAATTATCAGATGGAAGATCTTCCTTTCTGTCTCCCCTCCTCTCTGTACATCTGCCTTTCCAATAAAAATAAATAAATCTTAAAAAAACAATATCAATAATTAACTGGACTCACTGCAATAATGTGTGAGTAAATCTTGTGTTTGGGATACTCTCATTCCTTATCAGAAGCCTGTGATGGAGTCCCAACCCTACTCTGATCCAGGTTTCTGCTAATACTTATCAATGCAGAATGACTTTGATACTTAGTTCCTTGCTTCTACACACACAGAAGCCTAACAAAATGTATTCATTTCAGGCTGGCCCGCAACCCATTCACCCTTTCAAGCAAACAGTAAAATATGTGAATGAATACATTTCATAACTGTCACTATTTTTTTTCTAGAAACACTCTCAATGATTTATAATCTAAACCAGATTAAGAGTAGATCCGAAGCGGAATTGATGTACCCTTAGTGTACCTTACTGCATGAATTTGCTTTTCTCTGAATTATGAAATGTTTAATTTTAACAAAATATGGAAAGTGAATAAAGGTATGTCTTCATTTCTGTTTTCAAAAATAAAAAGACATTAAATTTGGAAGGTGAGGTCTAAGCATTAATAGAGTTAAAATGTGAATCACTGGTAATTAATATAATTGAGCTAGAATTATGACAGCCTCAACATTTCTTAAGTACTTCAGTTTGTCACTCCTCATCTCAGTTGACTAAGGCACTAAATAGGAAGCATAATTATTATAATTCACACCTGAATATTAAAGCACTATAGGGTTCACTTTAGTCATTTACTAGTCCTCAGTACTTAACCCCTCTTCCTTACCTTTCCTACAAAGGCACTTATGTAGCTGATCTCTCCACCTGTTTAGAAAACCCAAAGTTTCGTTTTGAAATTTAACTCACAATACCAATATTTTCTTCCCCTAACAGGTTCTTTGGAGATTTGAAGGCAAGAAACCAGCGTCCTTAGGACCCAACACTCGTATCTATAAGTGGCTCCCCCAGAATGACCTTCTAGGTATGAATCTGGAGCACAAGTGCTGGGAATCATGAGTAAGAGCCAATCAGAATGACAGCAGATCAACAGAAAATTGCTTGGCTGTTTATTATTGGAAGGCCCAAACGTGAAGTCAAATGCCTTTCTGCTTACTTTCCAGTCACTAGGGAATACTTGGAGGTATACAATGAGTAGTTAACATTTGGTATTTATTAAACACAAATTCTGCATGCTCAGTCGCCTTATTTCAGGTGTACATAACTCTCACAGGATTTCTTTATGAAGTCCTGTGAGAGTGCTTTGTACACAGAACATTAGGTCATTACTGGGACACGTTTCATGCCCTGTAGGAATACCTGCATGGCAGTGCTGCTTCTACATGTGATAACAATAATATGTTGATGCACGCTATGGGAGATACTAGAGTTTTAGGTTCCTATACCTATACTTAATTAAGTTTCTGGCTTCTGGCTGCTCTACCCCAGCAATTGCGTGTATGAGTTGGGTTCACTGTCTCATCTGTGTGTGTGTATGTGTGTGTGTGTGTGATAAATATATATAACAATAACAATTTCCTGGTTTGTCTATCTCCTATTATATTCCTTATCTATACTATTTCCCCCAAAATAGTTTCCAAATGTTACTAAAAATAATACTCATCTGCTATTATGAAGTACTTTGACTTTTCTGTAGGAAAGACTCATAATCTCTTCTTTCAACATTGTAATTTATTATATTTATATAAAGTGAACAGATTTCATGTCCTTCACAAGGTGTATCGGGGCATAGTGATAATCCCCACCCTATCCTCAAGGTTCATGAAGTGATAGCATACTTCCAGATAAAGTGTGGACTCTCATTTCTCCGCTTCCAGCCCTGAGACTCTGCCACTCCCTAGTGTGGAGTGTATCCAACACCACAGTATTAGGAAGTGTACTATTTCTCTGAGAAAATGTTGCATCATTTACTTGACCTTGTATTTCTTGGGAGGAGTTGGGCACAGTAATGCAATGTCTTTTACTTAGAATGTGCACTTGCTTCAGTCTGTCAGTGTTCATCTGTATTCATCTGTTGTTTCAAGTCACTCACAACTCCTATAGGCACTTTACTCACTACACTGATGGGTTTAGATAATTCTTCATCTGAAACTGAAAACAATTTACAGACAGCTTCATGTATGAAGCTTCATGTAGTCTAGAGTTCACCTCCACTTTTAGTGCTACAGGTTGTACGTTGCTCATTTCATTTTTAAAACTTATCATTCACAATTTTACTTAAAATTCCTAATTCTAGGTCATCCAAAAACCAAGGCCTTTGTGACTCATGGTGGAGCCAATGGCATTTATGAGGCAATCTACCATGGCATCCCCATGGTGACTTTTCCCTTGTTCTCTGAGCAATATGATAACACTGCCTACATGAAGGCCAAAGGAGCTGCTGTTAGATTGGATTGGAAAACAATGTCAAGTTCAGATTTACTCGATGCCATGAAGACAGTCATTAATGATCCTTCGTGAGTATTAATCCAAAATAATTGCTGTTTCAGGTTTAACTGAGTCTGAAAATAATACAATTATACATCTTTCACTATAGCTGGAAGATAATAATTAATAATTCAAGGTAGAAATGGCCAATATATTTGGTGATTTGTTGAAATATTTTCAACAGCTTCAAGTTAATGCAGAAAGTTTGAAAGAGCCACTGTGTGGAATTAGGAGAATCATTAAAGCAGGTAACAGGATTACAGGGAAGTCTTAGGAACAGTGCTGAGGCAGGGAGCCATGACTGCTAAAACAACACAAACAATGCTCATCGCAATTACGGCTTGTTTTCCCCTTGGGTTTTCATCATACAATATTTTAAATAGATTTCATTATATTGATTTTTAGATATAAAGCATGTATGATAAACACATAGTAAAATAGGGGGCAGATAGGAACAATTTATTCTTTTTCATCTCACATTGTACTCATATATATAAGCTTCATTATATTTTTTGAAGATTTTTTTATTGAAAATGTTTCTAGAGTTGGAGTGATAGAGATCTTTCATCTGCTCCTTCACACCCCAGAGCTGACCCCAGGCCAGAGCTGACCTGACCCATACCTGACCCATACCCAGCAGCCAAGAGCCTCTTCTGCGTCTCCCACGTGGCTTTAAGTCATTCCCCACTCCTTTCCCAAGTTAAAAAAAAAGGGATGGAAAGGGAGCAACATGTATGGGAACCAGCACCCAGATGGGATGTCAGGTCTTACAGATGAAGAATGAGCCTGGTAAGCCACAGCATTGGCCGCATTCCTCATTAGATTTAATTCATCATTCTTCTATTGGAACATTTCTTTTTACATGGAAGATGGTAAACATCCAGTGCTTTAAAATTTTCTCAGTGAAAACTAATTTGAAAATACTGATTTTTTGTTTTAAATACCAACATAGTGATTTTTACATGTGAGATTTTTATATTTTTGGATTAATTGTAAAACAAAGATATAATTTGAACAATAAAGTCATGTTAGAATAGTTTGGCTCTATAATAAACTTCTTCATAGCCAGAAATATTTTGTCTACAAGATATTCCATTATGCAAGCCAATTTAATTATGCTGTTATCATTATATTCTTGATATAAAAATGTCTTATAAATACTTTCTTTTTCTGTAATGACTTAAAATGGATATGCAGCATTTTGTTTCTTGGTGAGAATAATACAGGAGACTGTTAGGTTTTAGAAGTAGTTGGACTTGAAATTTATGACATCAGTTGGTCCACCAAATATGCATCATGAAAACAACCTTACTTTTGTTTTTCTAACAGGGATATATTTAATTCATTAATTTTATAAGAAAGCATATCTTTGTAGTGTAAATGTTTTTAAACATTTCAGAATTTGTAATAAATGTGATACTGAAGAATGAGAGGATTTCATAACTTATTGAAGTAGTTACATGTGATGTGAGTTGTTTCTGGCCATGTGGTTATGTATTCTGTGATTGTCTTCTCCTAATGTTTCTCCAGCGCATTAATGAAATCAGTGATAGTACACTTCGTTGAAAACTTTTCCCCCGCATTTTTTAAGTAATAACAATGAAAGCTTTCTCCACGGTAATTGCTACAGTTCCCACACATTACACTTTGTGATTTAGACTGGGCAAACACATCCGTGCATTCACCATTCTCCCTGGTCCATTCATCTTTCATCCCCATAAACATGCTCAAGAGGCTACAGTCACAGGGGTGTCGGGAAGAACACTAACGCTACTGCGCAACTTTTAATGCTACACTCATAAAAATGATTCAAGCTGTTCTAAAGATCAGTGTTTTTTATTTACAACAATCAAGTGAAAAAGCACTCTCACTGTCTATTCCACTTCACCAGGAAAACCTGGGGTCATGAAATTTATAAAAGGAAAAGGTAAGTCAGTGTAAGGCTGCAAAGAAAGGCAAATCACTTTCATGCCTTCATAATTCTATTAGCTAACACACAGCTTAAATATTAAACTCAATGACAGTTTTCTGGTGCCAATTCTTTGTCAACATTATATATATAATATATGATATATATCATATATATATCATATCATACCTTGCCTGTTATATCTAAATGTTGATACTAATTTGAACCTTGTACCCTAGGCCTATAAACCATTATTTAAGGGCTAATTAAACACCACACCTCACATAATTTTTTAATTGTTGCCAGTTTTTTTGGCCTTTGAGACTTAAGCTATTTCAGTATCTAGGTCTGAAAATTAGAAGTGTGTGATCTCCACCAGCTTCTCTCTTCCCATTTTGTAACCAGATGTATCCAAATCACTTCAATCTGTAAATTTGGCCTCTGTAGGGTATATTTAAATGTATACACATCTCTCCTAAGTGACTCTCATCTTTGCCATCTGTGTAAAAATATTACATACCTACTTCTCTAGGTCATCCTATAAATTTATATCTATTTATTTTACTTCAGCTACAAGGAGAATGTGATGACATTATCACGGATTCACCATGATCAGCCCATGAAGCCCTTGGACCGAGCAGCCTTCTGGATTGAGTATGTCATGCGCCACAAAGGAGCCAAACACCTGCGGGTTGCAGCCCATGACCTCACCTGGTACCAGTACCACTCTCTGGATGTGATTGGGTTCCTGCTGGCCTGTGTGGCAATCATTACTTACCTTGTCACAAAATTTTGCCTGTTTGCTTGTCAAAAGCTTGTTAAGGCAGAAAAGAAGAAAAAGAGGGATTAGAGCCTTCTCATCCAAGGCAATAATGACTGTGGCATCTTTCACTTTTGTTCAAGCAGGATGGAGCAAGGCGTAGTATATTTTTCCTGCAGATTTAAAGGGATATGTATGTACTTTCTTGGTTTATATTAACGTATTTCATTTGACCTATTCTTAAGGATTCCACAGTTCTCATGTCAGAAATCTTCTAATAATTCTGTTTATTCGTATAACAACGCTAATTGTGGTTTTTTTTTTTTTAAAAAAAGAGATTCACTGGATATTTTCCTTAGCTTGACAAGAGTCCTGTTCTTCCCCTGTACTTTTCCAGAAAACTTATTCAGTTAAATACAATGTACTGAAGTAGCAAATATGTTTCTTATCAAAGAGAGTTAGAGTTTCATACTAGTTATAGGTGGCAAGACATAGTCTATGCAAACCCCTCTAGAATGGAAGAGTGACTCCAGAATACACTGATCTAAATATCAACCATAATAAAAAGTGACTGTGATTTTGAGAAGAATGAAAAATGATCATAGAGCAGTAATGAAGGGTCATTCATAATGGAATACTGAAATTTGTGTTGATGGGAAATTTCAAGAGATCAAGTGAGACATTGTTGAAAGTGATTTGGAAAGGTGAGCTAAACAATACGTATTTTGCGGTTTAGAAGGTTGGACTTTTCTTGAGCATATTAAGCATAACTGTGACATTTATTTTTCTTAGAATGTCTCTCATTTCAGTCTGCATCTGAATTCTGGGCAACCTCACTGAAAGGACTGGAATTACAGGTGCTTTAGTTATATGTTAAAATGCCACAAATAATACATCTCGAGTCACCAGTAGAGATTACAAGTGTTGTAAAATTATTAAATATTGACAAATCACAGTAACTGATTTAGAAGGCTTACAATTCAGAAAATTTCAATAGAATATATCCTAACTCAGAGACATATTAAGTATAATACAGGTATCATGAATAAGCATGATTCAGATCACACAGACAATGTAACAGGTTTTCAAAACATTTAATATGATCAATGACAATAAATGTCTTAAGAAAATCATGAAAAATAGTACTATAAATAATTTAAACCACATAAAACATGAAAACATTTTTGTATAGTTTAACAATGAAGTACATGGATCAAAAAATTAGCATTCTCATAAATGAAAATTCTATGTATTCTTTCTGATCTTTTTGTGGTTACAGAAATAAAATGTTTATATCCAAAGAGGACTATAAATTTTACTTTTCTTCTGAAACTTTATACAATCCATCAAGGTGACATGGAGATTATTCAACATTGACATTATCATCAACCATTTTTCTCTAATGCCTAAATACCTGCTATCATTTTTTGATGGAAAGAAAATATACCCTGTGTGGCTGGTGCTGTGGCCTAGTGAGTTAAGCTGTTTCTTGCAGCATCGGTATCTTACATAGTTCCTGGCCTGAGTCCTAGCTGCTTCGCTTCCGATACAGCTCTCTGCTAATGCACCGGGGAAAGCAACAGATGATTGTCCAAGTCCTTAGGCCTCTTCCACTATGAGGGAGACTCAGAAATTCTTACATCCTGACCCCTGCCTGGTCCATTGCAACCATTTGGGGAGTGAACCAAGATGGAAAATATTCTGTCATTCCTTCTCTATCTGTAGCTCTGCTGTGAAGAAGAAGAAGAAGAAGAAGAAGAAGAAGAAGAAGAAAAGAAGAAGAAGAAGAAGAAGGAGGAGGAGGAGGACAAGGAAACAGGGTATACCCTGTTTTATAAACTTTCAAGTGCTTGGAGGGACAATCTTTTTCCTGTGCATGGTCATTGCCAGTACTTCTACAGGACAATTTCTTAGATGCAGACATCCACAGTGCAATGACACGTGTGTTGTTGCTTTTAATCTAGAAAATATTTTTAAGATTTATTTTTATTATTTTTTCATTGGAAAGGCGGATATACAGAAAGGAGAGGCAGAGAGGAAGATCTTCCATCCGATGATTCACTCCCCAAGTGAGCTCAACGGGTCGATACTATGCCGAGCTGAAGCCAGGAGACTCTTCCGGGTCTCCCACGCGGGTGCAGGTTCCCAAAGCTTTGGGCCGTCCTCGACTGCTCCAATGAAGACAAAGAAGGAATCCTGAGACAAGTACGAAGTAGAGAAAAGATCACATACAGGGGAAAGCCCATCAGAATCACTGCTGACTTCTCCGAAGAGACCCTACAAGCAAGGAGAGAATGGACAAAGATCTTCCAAGTCCTGAAACAAAACAACTGTCAACCAAAAATAATCTACCCAGCAAAGATCTCATTTGTATATGAGAACGAAATCAGATACTTCAATAGCAAAGAAAAACTGAAGAATATGTCTACACAAAACCAGCCCTGCAAAGTCTCCTTAGAAATGCGCTAGTCCCGGACAAAAAGGAGGCAAATCACAAACAAAGTTGGCAAATAAGAAGGTCTCCAAACTAAAGGCCGCACAAACAAGACAATTACATAGACAACAACACACACACAACACAATCACATGGCAGGGCAAAATTGCAACCTCTCAATTTTAACTCAACACAAATGGTCTAAATTCACCAATCAAAAGACAGAGATTAATAGAATGGATCATCAAACAAGACCCAACCATCTGTTGCCTACAAGAAACGCATCTAACCAGAAAGGATGCAAAGAAACTGAAAGTGAAGGGATGGAAAAAGATATTTCACGCCAATAGACGAGAAAAAAAAGCTGGGGTAGCTATCCTAATTTCAGACGGGATAGATTTCATTCTAACTAACATCAAAAGAGACAGGGAAGGCCATTTTATACTGGTGAAAGGAATGATCCATCAAGAAGCAATCACCATCATTAATGTTTATGCACTGAATCTTAATGCACCTACTTACGTAAAGCAATTACTTACAGACTTAAGGGAAGACATAGATACCCGCACAATTCTTGTAGGTGATCTCAACACACCTCTAACAACAATGGACCGGTCTACGAAACAAAAACTCAACAAAGAAACAACAGAGCTCACACAAACAATAGAACAACTGGACTTAGTAGACATATATAGAACTTTTTATCCTAAGGCCACAGACTATACATTCTTCTCAGCGGTGCATGGCACCTTCTCCAGAATCGACCACATGATAGGACATAAAGCGAATCTAAACAACTTCCAAAACATTAGTATCATACCATGTACCCTCTCAGACCACCATGGGATGAAACTGGAAATCAACAACTCAAAACTCCCCAGGAAGTATAGGCATTCTTGGAAATTGAACAATATGCTATTAAACGAACAATGGGTCAGAGAAGAAATTAAAGATGAGATCAAAAAATTTATGGAAACCAATGAAAACTCTGATACAACATTCCTTTTGCCTTTCTTATGGATATCCAGAAAAATAAAAATGATAACAACTGAGGGGAGCTCTTGTTGAGGTGGCAGAGTGTGAGGGGAATTACTGCAGTGTATGCACTTTCCCTCCCCTCCGGAGCCTGACCACAGTTAGGAAAGCAGTGTTAGGAGTCGGGCAATCTCTAAGCAGTTTCATCCTTACCCCAACCATACTCCAGGATCTCCAGGTACCTCCAGATGCTCCTGATGAAGGAAGTGTCTCATACTCACCTGAGGATCAAAGTAATAGGCTCATGAGAAGTCTTTGCCCCCATGAAATACACTCATGTCTTGAAAGAAGGTCCCTGGAAGCCATGTGATCACTTTAGTGTCGCACACAATGCTTGGAAAAAAGGTAAAAGGCCAATGGATGTATCTATCCTCTCAAAGCAAGTAGCCACATGCCAGCTTGGATATAAATATATAGACATAGATAGATATAGATATAGATATAGATATAGATATAGATATAGATATAGATATAGATATAGATATAGATATAGATATAGATATAGATACAGGCATGGAGAGAGAGAGAGAGAGGAACATGAGTTTGCAAACCCTCCAAGAGAAGCAGGCTGGATTCTTTCCTTTTCTCCTGGGGACCAACAGAATCTTGGGTGAGGCAAACATTAAGTAGCTTATGTTGCCATATCAGATTATAGTTCAAGAGTGGATATTCAAAGTCTGGCACGGTAGTCTAGTGGATAAAGTCTTCAAATTGCATGCACTAGGATCCCATATAGGCATTGGTTCATATCCCCACCACTCCACGTCCCATCCAGCTCCCTGCTTGTGGCCTAGGAAAGCAGCTGCAGATGTCCAATGCCTTAGGACCCTACATCCCCATGCAAGTCCCAAAAGAACCTCCTGGCTCCTGGCTCCTGGCTTTGGATTGATTCAGCTCTGGCCATTGTGACTACTTGGGGAGTAAAGCAGGAGATGGAATATATTTTCCTCTGTATCTCATTATCTCTGTAAATATGACTTTTCAGTAAGAAATAATATAAATCTTTAAAAAATAAAAGTGCTAGTTCAGCCAGATTGGAATAAAAACAACCAAAGCAAGGGATTTGAAACGTGTAGCAATTGTGCTACCTGAAAAGACTTACCTAATGGAAAAGCCAAAAGGTTCTTCATCATTTCTCAATTCAGTTCTTTACCATTTCTCAAATCACTGTTAGTTTAGAAATCTGACTCACCATATCACACAATTCTTTACATGTATTTTCAAAATGGACCACAATTTGAACCCAAAATGGACCACAATTTGAACCCAAAATGTATAAGAGGAGGCTGAACTTTTTCTTTAAACTTGCCCACAATATAAATCGGGAGACAAGGAAACATGGCCAGATAATGGGAGTGTAAATGACAATGAAATGTTACAGTTAGACCTATTTTGTCATGAACAGAGAAAATGGACAGAAGTGCCTTACATATATATAAGTCTTGTTAGTGCCAAGAGAAAATGATTATCTATGCAAAAGCTGCGAACAAGGTCTGGATATGCTCGCATTTTTATCTGCTGACAGCCCCCTGAGAAGAAGAGCAAAAAAGGGCTGTCATCACAGAAAAATATCATGAAAAAAGGAGTGATTCTTAGTCTTCTTCTTCCTGGTGCAGAGACC